TATATCTTGATGGCAATTATCTAACGAGATTGTTTATTGGGGTATAAGGGCAGTCTGCACATCGTCAAAATGGATGCCGTGCTTGCCTGTGCGCCCTTAATCCCTCGAAGTGCAACTAGAAATTCTGGGTCCTTGCCAAGGCGGAGGTGCATTTGGGGCTCTGTAAGCAACAGAGGTTCTGGGTCTATTGTAAGTCACTATTCCCTCCGACTTGCCTGAATCTCTAGAAATAGGGAGGAACCCCGTCCAGCAGCCGCCCGTCGCGCTGCATAGATTTGTGTATGTATATATCTTGTATTATAGATAGTCTATGCCTGGCATAGAATAAACAACGAGCGAAGAGGGTCTGAGCGAGTAGGTCTTTAACATCATCTGTATATATTGTGTGTGGCTTCCCGAGAAGCTTTTATATTAAGATCTTCGAGTGCATTTGAGGTGGTATTGAGTTGAGTTTAGATTGAGTTGAGTTAAGTATTGTAGTATGTTTGGTTTAGTTATGTTAAGATTGTACTATGTTGAGATAGTATTATGTTGTGTTAAGATTGAGTTTAGTTTATATTATACTAAGTTGTGATTGTACTTTGTTAACTTATGATAGCATTATGTTATTATACTAACCCAACACTTAACTAATACTTAACTAATACATACTCCATTAAAGACATTCCTTGAGACGAGCGCTGGTACCGTTTATTAAGTAAATATAGGTGTGAGTGAGAGGATGACGTCATATCGAAGTATATCGTAGATATGCAAAACTAATTTGGTTATAAGACCCTGGTTCTATTAAAGTTGCGTGTTAGTATTGGTTTAGTACTAAGTAGTGTGTAGCTTGCCAGTGATCAGGTTGATCGTTGTGGGAAATGAGTAGTGGTCGTATGACAGCACTACACATTATGTTATTCTACTAACTCAATACTAACTCAATACTTAACCAACACATACTCTATTAAAGACATTCCTTGAGATAAGTGTGGGTACCATTTATCGAGTAAATATGGTTGAGTTGAAATAAGATGACGTCATATTAAGTTAGTATTAGTTTAGTAGTAATTAGTGTATACTAAGTAGTGAGTAGCTTACCAGTACTTAAGTTGATCATGTGGGAAATGGGCAGTGGCCGTATTACGGCGCTACAGTTAGGTTAAGTTTTACTAATTGGCTGTGTCCAAATTTGGCCATTAGATTGTTCTTTATCAAAATTTAAGATAAAATGTGCGATTTTTAATGACAGATGAATACTTACTGTATTATTCGGATGAAAAGACAAGGTTTATGTGGCTTTATATGTTGGATTGTGTATGTAATGTTAGTGGTCAGTGTCTGGGAGGTAATGGAAGCTAAAGCGGCCCGACTATCCTACACAGAAATGGTAGATGCTCTAAATGAAGCCTTTGATATTTATCTAGATTTAGACATATGGGGGGAAAACAAACGATCTCTTTTAGACTCTAACATTACTCAAGAGAATAATGCTTATTGCGTAAATCTGCCTAATTTCTACATAGATCTCTCTTATATGCACATGCATGCAACGTATGTGCACTTACAAGCTTTTGAGGCAGTTTCCAAAATTACGGCAACTGCGATTAGAATGGTTGGGGATTTGCGCAATCCTTGGATCTTTGGTAAACTGCTGGTTCACTTACTGCTTGTGATAGACGTTAAGGAGTTGTATATAAACATTACAAACACACTTGGCATCAGTCCTATTGTTGCAAGACTTGTATTAACTTCAGAGATCCGGCAACGTCTGGCAGCTAAGCATCCTATTAGTCTATGCGTAGTTAACGACCAAATTGGTGTGTGCGCAATTCTATCCATAATCTATATGCATGCGCCCCTTAAGTCACTGAGTATTAGTAGTATAAACCAAAGCCTGGGCTGGCCGTGCTCTGTCAACTGGACCGACGACTTCTCACTTGTGCTGTCGGTTGATTGGCTACAGAAACAAGATCTAGAGAACCTGCTATTTGGTTGTGGCTTGTTATGCTGTCAAAGCCTTACTATCCAAAACTATACTCCTCGAGGTCTTCAAACCACGCCGCAACAAGTGTACCAAATGGTCAGCAGGTGCAAAGATGAGGGCCTTTTCTGGTGCCGCCAGATAAAAGAACTGACCATGGAGTACGAATTCTTTATCTATATGTGCGCCTCATTTGAAGCGAATGTTCTGATTCGCAGCGTTACCACACTTACCTTACTTGTTTCTTCACTTGATATTAAGAATCTTAAGAATGCTTGCCTTACAAAATGTCAGGATCTATCTGCTCGGACAGTAGCAAATATTCAATTGTTTGGGAGCTATGATTTACTTTGGGCCACAAACATGCAGTGCTTTAAACTCTCTTTTCTTCAGCTGCTTATACCCAATCCACTCTCGGGCTTAAATAATGCCGACCAACTGGCTGAACCACAACAATTATTGGCCTCATTTCAAAAGGAATTCCTATGCCACCACATGGAGTTTATCAATATTGATGCTCTTGCCGTAACGGTGTGCTATGCTGACCATCAAGATGCACTGGAAGTTGCTATCTATAAGCTCTTCAATCAAATATCCGAATCGCCGAAAGATACCGCATCAATGGTAACTGCCCTCCTTAAGCACTGCACTGAGTCTGCTTGGTCAGCTAGACAGAAGCCGGGCAAGTACCTGTTTAATATCAGCATATTAAACTACTATACGAATGTCCGCTCAATCTCTAATGCGCTCTCTCAGATAAATGAGCTTCTAAAGCAAAAGCCTCAAAGATT